ACATGACATATATTTTTTGTAAATTAAAAGTATATTATATAAAACTATAACGATGTAGAAAATATAAATTGTAAATTTAACACCTTATTAAACTAGTAAAAGTATATAAAAGAGTAAAAACAAAAATGTTTGAAAGAAAAATAAAGTTAGTAAAAGGAAAACAAGTTTAAAATAAAATAATTATTATCTTGGAATTTAAATTTTTAAAATTAGTAATTTTTGTAATAATTGAGTATGAATATAAGTTTGCACAAAACATGAATTTTTAAATTGAGTAATAATTTCATTTTAAATTATTAAAATATGTTTAATTTATTAGATAGTTAAAAAAACTTATTTTCACTATTCTTTTTATTTTTTTTATTTAAAGATCTCTTCTCTTACTTTATGTAATTTTCATTATCTCTGAATTATTCTACTGATTTCAATATCCATTAAGTTTGTTCAGATTTTCAAAATACTTTTTTTTTTCATTACAATCCTAATTATATATCTTTTTTCTTTATATGGTTTAATTATCTTAAGATTTTTTTGGTTGACCTGAATCAGAAATTACATATTAGATTAAGATAAACCAGACGAACATAACATAATGAAAAAAATATACAAATTCATTACTTTAAGTTTTTAGGTTGAAAGTAATGTCATAAACTCTTATGAATTAATTTTAGTTTAATTTTTCAAGTTGTTTAATATTAATGTCGAGTTACTCAAAATGAAAATATTTTTTTTAAAAAAATATTATAATAAGTTTCGGTTGACCAAGGAATCATAATATATAATCAAATAAAATTTAATTGTTTTTTAAAATCCAAGCCTCTTCCTTTTCTCGTTTTTGGTATGATTTTTTAATGTTGTGAGTTTCAATTTTTAGAGACGATTGAAGTCTAAGGTTAAAGTTTATGTTTTAATTCATAATCAAAATTAAAAGTTCTCATTTTTTACCTGATATATTTCAGTTCGAGAGGAAATCAAAATATAATGTTAAAAATAACTTATATCAAAACCCTTCCTTGCACTAGCTATGTGAAACTTCTAATGAGTCTCAGATTGGATGAAAAAGAGTGAGATGATCAATATATAAAAAGAAAAACCCACAAATTAAACATCCTGGTTGAAAATAATGTTAAATTGTATGTCTCTTGAAAACAATACATTACTTGGTAATTAAGAAGTAAATAAACAAATAAATTAACAATAAATGGTAAAATAATAATTGGGCTAATGAAAAAGAATCTCCTAGTAATAATTGTTATTTAATGGACCTAGAAAAATAATAGAGTTTATATTTATATATATATATATATATATATATATATATATATATATATATGTGTGTGTGTGTGTCTGTGAATCACTGAGGCAAAGACACTAAATTTCAATTTTATTGAATTGATATAATTATTATTTGATACTCTATTAATTATGCAATTATGATTTCTTTCTTGATATTATAATAAAGAAAAAGTTATGTGTCTTTCTATTATTAAATTCTTGATGATAATATCATATTTTTGTGTAAAAATTATTTAATAAATATTTAAAACAATGAGAATAGGTTAGAACGTGAGTATAAATATGCAACATTGCCATATGAAAATAAAGATGAAACATAAATTTTATACCTAATATGAATAGAAACATGATAAATATAAATTATTACTTTAAATAATTTATAAAAGAAAAAAAATTAGATATAATTTAATGACATAAATATATTTCTATTTGTCTTCAAATTAGAGATTTTTAATCTTGATCATACAAAGTTTTCTCTATTTCTCATTTCTACAAAATTTGAAATTGGTCTTCATAAGAGCGTGAATTTTGATTTTACTATCCGTAAAGTATTTTCATTTGATTTTTATCCTTCAGAATTAAAAACCGTTATTTTTAATTCCTATATAATACTCATTTTAAAATAGATAAATATAATTTGTGTACTAGCTAGCATTGAATCATAATTCATATTTGAAGACAAACAACTGTGTATGATATGAGGATTAAATATAGTGGATAAATAAGCATACACTGCCAAAGGGAGGCTTAGAAAAGAAATTTCAGAAATCAGACGTAACATTGATGATAGTCTCAAAGAATTCAAGAAAGCAAATAAATTGACAATCTTAACTTAAGGCTTTATAAATGAATGAAAGCAAGGTGGAAGCATCTTCCTAAGAAGCATTCAATATATTGTTTTATTTTTTCTTTATTTTGACTTTTGTGCCGAATATAGCCTATAAGAATATGGTCCCAAAATAACGTGGATGAATGTGTGTCACTATCTAATAAGCAACAGCTAGCATATCATGTTACCGTCGTATAAAGTATTCATAAAGATAATAAACTAAAGTTGAAAACACCAAAATGAAAGAATCGCAAGTTCAAATATGTGATTAAGAAGCCACCAATAGAATAATGAACCTTCATTATCTTAATCTTAACCCTTGTTTTCGTATCCAAGCATAACTAAGAACATAACCACGTAATCAAAACACGTAGCACCATATATATTCAACACTTCTCAAGTAGAATTTGGGGTGTTGTAATTCTGAATAGTTTAACACTGTGCAACATCAAACATCTAAAATTGAAAATGGTGATGGTTAGGACATGCTAGGTCACCACGTTTTTGCAACCAATTTTATATTTCGATTTCGTTATACCAAATCACGTTGCGACTACAGTGAAGTTAGGGTTTCGTTGCTTTTCTATTTTTTTTTGTACCAAAATGCCCTTCTTTTACCAGTTATATATTAAACTTAACTAGTTATTTTTTATAATCTTTTTAAGAATTATGATTTTGTTAAAGCAGTATCTTCTCCAGTGATAATTAATTTATGACACGGACCATATTACCCGAAACAAATTATTTTTTACATATAGTAGAAATTAATTTTTTCTATACAAACTAAATTTAAATTGAAAACATCTAAATTATCTAAAATTTTGAAATTGTACCGTTTAAAACGATTTGTCGCTGCCCTCTTAATATAGAAACATGCCGACATCGTAACTGAAAATATCCTATTCCGTGGCTATCAACTGGACCACAAATTTATTAAGAGCCTTTTTCGTTATCGTTTCCTTACAGTTTTGAAGTTGTTTGTATCAGTTTCTTTATAAAACATTCTAAAAAATACGAAAATGATTGAAATTAAATTCTTCGTATTAAAATTAATTTACATAAAACTTAATTCATAGAAAATTATATATACATTTTTTACAAATTTCATTTTAATTTATACGTAATTTAATTTTAACTTATATAAACTGTTTTTATATTTTCTATTATATATAAAGAAACTCATTTGTACTTACATATACGCTTTGATTATTAAGTTTTCATTCTAAAAAATTTAATTTATAAATTAAATATAATTCATAAAAGTAATTTGAGAAAGAAATATATTCAATGTTATTTTAAATAATATAATTAATTCATTAGTACTTTATTAATAGTCACTTTTTTTTAACTAAATAAAAAATAATCTTACAGTTACTCTTGGACAAAATTAGTATGAAAGTGATTCAACCTTTTCTCACTTACAGTATGGCCCATTCATTCTATGTCAAGCTGAGTAGCCAAGCACACCATGCTTTCCGCACGTTTGGATTTTAAATTATATATTATATAAATTGCTTTTTCTTGAAAACAATTTTATCATTATTTTTTTTTATAAAACAAGTTTTATCTTTAAAGTACAGAAAAATATAAACTTTGTATATTGTATTAACATAATAAGAATTCAACATAAAAACTTAAGGATTTTAATTTTATTTTTATGAGAAATAGACTCTAAGTTTTCTTCATAAATGTTTAATGATAGAAAATTAAATTACAAAATAATAATGTTTTTTTTAGGATTTTGGTTTCATACAATTAAAAAGAATAATAAAATGAACCAAATAAACTCGACCGTAGAGTTTGTAGTGTTTATGATTTAATTATGTTTTTCAATTTGACATGGAGTGTTTTAGTGTTTGAGTCTACTATTAACACAAATTTGATGAATAATTTTTTTGTTATAAATTAATGTTATAAATATAGTTAAATCACTAAATTATCTCTTAATGTATCATTTTAGGCTATTGTTATACAATTAAAACTCTATACAAAAAATTATTCAAACAATTATTTAAATATTTTTATTTACTACACAATATCATTTATGAAAGATTCAATTGATTTACTTGAAGAAAAACATTTTCCCTAATTAGTTTCAACTTTCCATGTTTTACTTATTAAAAGGAATAAATGACATCTTTCTCTATTTATTTGTCAAATAACTTTCCTTTGGATGAATGACTTCTATCTTGGTAAAAAGATATTTTTTCCACTATTTTATAAATATACCATAAATCACTTAATTTTATCTTTTATATCTTTAAATAGGTTTCAATTTGATTTATCATTAAGAAATCGACCAAAATTATCAATCCGTATTCAACCATAGGCTTATGATTTTCTTTAACCATATTATTTCGATAGAAATTCACTTAATGCAACGTTTTCATTATTTAATTATTTTATTATATTTAATTTCATCACCAATAAAAATTCAATTTAAAATTTTTAAAATATATTAATGTAGTCCTCTTTCATCCATTAATAAAATTATTAACCATTAATTTATAAAATAGTATTTATAACCAAATTGACTGTTCATAAAACGGATAAATCTCAACAAATGACACTATTAAAATTTTAAAACGAAAAGAATTAGATCGACGTTAAACCAGTCACCATTGTGATTTTAAAATTAAAGAATTTAATTGAGGTTTCATAAATAAATGAACCAAATTTCAAAAAATAATAATAATAAAACAAAAAAGTGATAAATAGTTTTGAAAGTAGAGGAGGACAAAAGTGTCATTGGAGGAGTGAGAAGGAAAAAAGGAGAAAAGACGAGGGTATTTTGGTCAGGCGGTTTTGAAGTAAACACGATTTTGAAGTAAACAAAGGGTGAATGAAGGGCCTACAAGTACAAATACGAAGTGTCTGTTTCGGAAGACACGAAATGCCGAAGATCTCACCTCAAAATAAACTATCTTCCAAAAACTTCTTATCATCTCACACACCAACAACGCTGTCTCTCTCTGTTCTTCTCCCTCCCACGCTCTTTCTCTGTGCCTCTCTCCAGAACCAGAAGAAGAAGCTCTGGGGAAACCGCAAGAAGAAAAAGAAAAAAAACCCACTTATCTAACCAAAACCCACTAAACCATTATGACATGCTTCACACCACACCCTTCACTTCTCTTCCTTCTCACCCTTCTCCTACCTTTATCGTTCTTCTCTTTCTCCGCCGCCGTTGAAACCTCTGATTTCCATTCCTTGCGTTATCAAGGTTTTTTTTTTTTTTACTTTCCCTTGTCCGTTTCGAAGTTTTTATTTTTCTGAAATGGGTGTGCTTTGTTTGTGTTTTTGTTTTCTGGGTGTATTTCAGATGGAGTTGAGGGTGGTGGTTGGGGAGAGTTCCCGAAGGTGCTACCGTGGAAAACGAGGAGATCGATGGATGAAGATGCTCCGAGCAACACGTCTCTGATATTGGCTCAGAGAAGAACTACGAGGAAGGACCCTTCGGACAACTTTAACCGTTACACCGGTGGTTGGAATATCAGCAATCGCCACTACATTGCTGTCAGTTCCTACCTAACCTTTAATACCCACCACTCATGACTTTTTTTTATCTTCTAAAAATCATGCTTTTTATCGGTGTCTTTTATTTGCTAGTTCATTTGGATAAATTTAGCTAAAAAATAAGAGGATAAAATAACTTATTTCGTATAACCTAAACTCAATTTATGCATTTCAGTTTTTTGAGAACTGGCATGAGAAAACTTTTATAAAAAAATCTGTGTTTATGTTGAGAGTGACTCACTTTCCGTTCCCACCTAACTTTCCTTGATCACGCATGACCATTCTTTTTCTTAATTTTAAATTATGCTTCTAACTTGGTGCTTGTCATTTGTTTCCAATTTTTATTAGTTTTTTTTTGTTTCTAAGTTCTAGGTAAATTTCCCAGCTAGAAGAAAATAAGAAAACAAGCCAGAATAAAATTAGTTTATGTATTTTAGTTTTTTGAGAAACCTGACAACAGAACTTCTATAGAATTTAATGTAATTTAAGTTGGAAACGACTCAAATTATTTTAATTCTATCAATCATATCTGAAATAGTAGAGAGGGTAGCCGAAAATTGCTATGTTGTAATTATTTGACTGCATTGGAACTATTAATAATATTTGGCTGCCTTGTTGTCTTTTGGTGCAGTCGGTTATTTTCACTGCGGTTCCCTTCTTTGTTGTTGCTGCAGTCTGGTTTGTGATTTTTGGACTTAGTTTATCCATAATCTGTTTGTGCTACTGCTGTTGTCCAAGAGAGCCTTACGGTTATTCACGTCTGGCCTATGCTTTATCCTTGATCTTCCTCATCCTCTTCACCGTTGCAGCAATGTATCTCTCTTTCTCTGGCACATAATATGTTATCTTTGATTCATATGACTTTTAAGGTTTTCTAAATGTGTGTGATTGTTGTGTTAGAGTTGGATGTGTCCTTCTTTACACCTCTCAGGTGAAGTTTCACGGGAGCACCATAAACACTCTGGAATATGTGGTGAGTCAGGCAGACTTCACCGCTGAAAACCTCAGGAATGTGTCAGATTATCTTGATGCAGCTAAGAAGATTGGAGTTGATGCCGTTTTTTTGCCTGCTGATGTTCAGAAGGAGATTGACGATATTAAGACTAAGATTAATTCTTCTGCTGTAGAACTTTCCAGCAAGACTAAAGATAATTCAGAGACAATTAGAGATGTCATAGATGCAATGTTAGTTAGTAATCTTGATTTGATTTGAGGTTTTAAAATGTCTTTTTTTTTTCTGACAATTATATATTATGTGCTGTAGGAGACTGGCTCTGGTTATTCTTGCTGCTGTTATGCTCTTTCTTGCATTTGTTGGATTCTGTACGTTTCTTTTATCCTGTTTTAGTACTTGTTTCTGGTTCTATTTTCTGTCTCAATGATAAAGATTTTTTGTCGTCTCATGTGATTGTTTTTGTGGTCACAACTTTCTGCAGTATTATCAATATTTGGTCTGCAAGGTCTTGTGTACTTGTAAGTTAAACTAGTTGAACATTTTTCTAATCTTTTTTTATTTCTGGACTTTGTAATTCTTAATAGTTTGTCCCATCTAATCACCAGTCAGTAAATCATGTTCTTTTAATGACTGCAGCTTGATCCTCATTGGTTGGATTCTTGTTGCTGGCACATTTATACTTTGTGGTATATTTCTCTTTCTTCACAAGTAAGTCCCTTCTATTTTGTAGAATTTGTATTGAACTTTAGTTTTCACCTTTGCGGTTACTCTGTTAACTCGTCTATTATGAGTCACTCATTTGATGAAGTCCATTTTCTGCTATAATCACTTGTGTTGCACATGTATAACAAAAAGCTATTTTATTGCGTATTTGCACCAGTGTGGTTGAAGATACATGTGTTGCCATGGANTATATATATATATATATATATATATATGTGTGTGTGTGTGTCTGTGAATCACTGAGGCAAAGACACTAAATTTCAATTTTATTGAATTGATATAATTATTATTTGATACTCTATTAATTATGCAATTATGATTTCTTTCTTGATATTATAATAAAGAAAAAGTTATGTGTCTTTCTATTATTAAATTCTTGATGATAATATCATATTTTTGTGTAAAAATTATTTAATAAATATTTAAAACAATGAGAATAGGTTAGAACGTGAGTATAAATATGCAACATTGCCATATGAAAATAAAGATGAAACATAAATTTTATACCTAATATGAATAGAAACATGATAAATATAAATTATTACTTTAAATAATTTATAAAAGAAAAAAAATTAGATATAATTTAATGACATAAATATATTTCTATTTGTCTTCAAATTAGAGATTTTTAATCTTGATCATACAAAGTTTTCTCTATTTCTCATTTCTACAAAATTTGAAATTGGTCTTCATAAGAGCGTGAATTTTGATTTTACTATCCGTAAAGTATTTTCATTTGATTTTTATCCTTCAGAATTAAAAACCGTTATTTTTAATTCCTATATAATACTCATTTTAAAATAGATAAATATAATTTGTGTACTAGCTAGCATTGAATCATAATTCATATTTGAAGACAAACAACTGTGTATGATATGAGGATTAAATATAGTGGATAAATAAGCATACACTGCCAAAGGGAGGCTTAGAAAAGAAATTTCAGAAATCAGACGTAACATTGATGATAGTCTCAAAGAATTCAAGAAAGCAAATAAATTGACAATCTTAACTTAAGGCTTTATAAATGAATGAAAGCAAGGTGGAAGCATCTTCCTAAGAAGCATTCAATATATTGTTTTATTTTTTCTTTATTTTGACTTTTGTGCCGAATATAGCCTATAAGAATATGGTCCCAAAATAACGTGGATGAATGTGTGTCACTATCTAATAAGCAACAGCTAGCATATCATGTTACCGTCGTATAAAGTATTCATAAAGATAATAAACTAAAGTTGAAAACACCAAAATGAAAGAATCGCAAGTTCAAATATGTGATTAAGAAGCCACCAATAGAATAATGAACCTTCATTATCTTAATCTTAACCCTTGTTTTCGTATCCAAGCATAACTAAGAACATAACCACGTAATCAAAACACGTAGCACCATATATATTCAACACTTCTCAAGTAGAATTTGGGGTGTTGTAATTCTGAATAGTTTAACACTGTGCAACATCAAACATCTAAAATTGAAAATGGTGATGGTTAGGACATGCTAGGTCACCACGTTTTTGCAACCAATTTTATATTTCGATTTCGTTATACCAAATCACGTTGCGACTACAGTGAAGTTAGGGTTTCGTTGCTTTTCTATTTTTTTTTGTACCAAAATGCCCTTCTTTTACCAGTTATATATTAAACTTAACTAGTTATTTTTTATAATCTTTTTAAGAATTATGATTTTGTTAAAGCAGTATCTTCTCCAGTGATAATTAATTTATGACACGGACCATATTACCCGAAACAAATTATTTTTTACATATAGTAGAAATTAATTTTTTCTATACAAACTAAATTTAAATTGAAAACATCTAAATTATCTAAAATTTTGAAATTGTACCGTTTAAAACGATTTGTCGCTGCCCTCTTAATATAGAAACATGCCGACATCGTAACTGAAAATATCCTATTCCGTGGCTATCAACTGGACCACAAATTTATTAAGAGCCTTTTTCGTTATCGTTTCCTTACAGTTTTGAAGTTGTTTGTATCAGTTTCTTTATAAAACATTCTAAAAAATACGAAAATGATTGAAATTAAATTCTTCGTATTAAAATTAATTTACATAAAACTTAATTCATAGAAAATTATATATACATTTTTTACAAATTTCATTTTAATTTATACGTAATTTAATTTTAACTTATATAAACTGTTTTTATATTTTCTATTATATATAAAGAAACTCATTTGTACTTACATATACGCTTTGATTATTAAGTTTTCATTCTAAAAAATTTAATTTATAAATTAAATATAATTCATAAAAGTAATTTGAGAAAGAAATATATTCAATGTTATTTTAAATAATATAATTAATTCATTAGTACTTTATTAATAGTCACTTTTTTTTAACTAAATAAAAAATAATCTTACAGTTACTCTTGGACAAAATTAGTATGAAAGTGATTCAACCTTTTCTCACTTACAGTATGGCCCATTCATTCTATGTCAAGCTGAGTAGCCAAGCACACCATGCTTTCCGCACGTTTGGATTTTAAATTATATATTATATAAATTGCTTTTTCTTGAAAACAATTTTATCATTATTTTTTTTTATAAAACAAGTTTTATCTTTAAAGTACAGAAAAATATAAACTTTGTATATTGTATTAACATAATAAGAATTCAACATAAAAACTTAAGGATTTTAATTTTATTTTTATGAGAAATAGACTCTAAGTTTTCTTCATAAATGTTTAATGATAGAAAATTAAATTACAAAATAATAATGTTTTTTTTAGGATTTTGGTTTCATACAATTAAAAAGAATAATAAAATGAACCAAATAAACTCGACCGTAGAGTTTGTAGTGTTTATGATTTAATTATGTTTTTCAATTTGACATGGAGTGTTTTAGTGTTTGAGTCTACTATTAACACAAATTTGATGAATAATTTTTTTGTTATAAATTAATGTTATAAATATAGTTAAATCACTAAATTATCTCTTAATGTATCATTTTAGGCTATTGTTATACAATTAAAACTCTATACAAAAAATTATTCAAACAATTATTTAAATATTTTTATTTACTACACAATATCATTTATGAAAGATTCAATTGATTTACTTGAAGAAAAACATTTTCCCTAATTAGTTTCAACTTTCCATGTTTTACTTATTAAAAGGAATAAATGACATCTTTCTCTATTTATTTGTCAAATAACTTTCCTTTGGATGAATGACTTCTATCTTGGTAAAAAGATATTTTTTCCACTATTTTATAAATATACCATAAATCACTTAATTTTATCTTTTATATCTTTAAATAGGTTTCAATTTGATTTATCATTAAGAAATCGACCAAAATTATCAATCCGTATTCAACCATAGGCTTATGATTTTCTTTAACCATATTATTTCGATAGAAATTCACTTAATGCAACGTTTTCATTATTTAATTATTTTATTATATTTAATTTCATCACCAATAAAAATTCAATTTAAAATTTTTAAAATATATTAATGTAGTCCTCTTTCATCCATTAATAAAATTATTAACCATTAATTTATAAAATAGTATTTATAACCAAATTGACTGTTCATAAAACGGATAAATCTCAACAAATGACACTATTAAAATTTTAAAACGAAAAGAATTAGATCGACGTTAAACCAGTCACCATTGTGATTTTAAAATTAAAGAATTTAATTGAGGTTTCATAAATAAATGAACCAAATTTCAAAAAATAATAATAATAAAACAAAAAAGTGATAAATAGTTTTGAAAGTAGAGGAGGACAAAAGTGTCATTGGAGGAGTGAGAAGGAAAAAAGGAGAAAAGACGAGGGTATTTTGGTCAGGCGGTTTTGAAGTAAACACGATTTTGAAGTAAACAAAGGGTGAATGAAGGGCCTACAAGTACAAATACGAAGTGTCTGTTTCGGAAGACACGAAATGCCGAAGATCTCACCTCAAAATAAACTATCTTCCAAAAACTTCTTATCATCTCACACACCAACAACGCTGTCTCTCTCTGTTCTTCTCCCTCCCACGCTCTTTCTCTGTGCCTCTCTCCAGAACCAGAAGAAGAAGCTCTGGGGAAACCGCAAGAAGAAAAAGAAAAAAAACCCACTTATCTAACCAAAACCCACTAAACCATTATGACATGCTTCACACCACACCCTTCACTTCTCTTCCTTCTCACCCTTCTCCTACCTTTATCGTTCTTCTCTTTCTCCGCCGCCGTTGAAACCTCTGATTTCCATTCCTTGCGTTATCAAGGTTTTTTTTTTTTTTACTTTCCCTTGTCCGTTTCGAAGTTTTTATTTTTCTGAAATGGGTGTGCTTTGTTTGTGTTTTTGTTTTCTGGGTGTATTTCAGATGGAGTTGAGGGTGGTGGTTGGGGAGAGTTCCCGAAGGTGCTACCGTGGAAAACGAGGAGATCGATGGATGAAGATGCTCCGAGCAACACGTCTCTGATATTGGCTCAGAGAAGAACTACGAGGAAGGACCCTTCGGACAACTTTAACCGTTACACCGGTGGTTGGAATATCAGCAATCGCCACTACATTGCTGTCAGTTCCTACCTAACCTTTAATACCCACCACTCATGACTTTTTTTTATCTTCTAAAAATCATGCTTTTTATCGGTGTCTTTTATTTGCTAGTTCATTTGGATAAATTTAGCTAAAAAATAAGAGGATAAAATAACTTATTTCGTATAACCTAAACTCAATTTATGCATTTCAGTTTTTTGAGAACTGGCATGAGAAAACTTTTATAAAAAAATCTGTGTTTATGTTGAGAGTGACTCACTTTCCGTTCCCACCTAACTTTCCTTGATCACGCATGACCATTCTTTTTCTTAATTTTAAATTATGCTTCTAACTTGGTGCTTGTCATTTGTTTCCAATTTTTATTAGTTTTTTTTTGTTTCTAAGTTCTAGGTAAATTTCCCAGCTAGAAGAAAATAAGAAAACAAGCCAGAATAAAATTAGTTTATGTATTTTAGTTTTTTGAGAAACCTGACAACAGAACTTCTATAGAATTTAATGTAATTTAAGTTGGAAACGACTCAAATTATTTTAATTCTATCAATCATATCTGAAATAGTAGAGAGGGTAGCCGAAAATTGCTATGTTGTAATTATTTGACTGCATTGGAACTATTAATAATATTTGGCTGCCTTGTTGTCTTTTGGTGCAGTCGGTTATTTTCACTGCGGTTCCCTTCTTTGTTGTTGCTGCAGTCTGGTTTGTGATTTTTGGACTTAGTTTATCCATAATCTGTTTGTGCTACTGCTGTTGTCCAA